ACCTTCGCATTTACTATCTAGCTCCTCCTTTGACCATGTGCTGCTTTGCGGTGGACTATATGCATTTATGATCATTAGTTTATCATCCACATGGCAGATCTCTAGTGCTATTATGTCAACTTCTTGTGGATTGGCAGTCATTATTTCTTTCACCTTTAGGTGTTCTTTCACCAGCACAGCAACGCCACCGCCTTTCCTAATTTTTCTGTCTCGTCTCCAAATTCAGTAGCCCCTTGGGAATATGACCTCATTTAAAATAACATCTTCAAGTTTTGTCTCCGTGAGTGCAACAATGTCTGGTGTCTGCAGCTGTATTACATCACTTAACTCCAGTATCTTCAATCTCACTCCATCTATGTTGGTGTATGCAATCTTCAGGAACTTGTTCCCCCTCTCCTTATTCTTCACTCCCCTCTCTCTATTGATTTTGTTGGTTTGCCTTTATGTACCACTTTACTGGTCTGCCTACCCCTATCACTTTGTAGAAAAAAGAATTGATTTCTTCTTCATTCCTGCTCTCATTTAAACTTTTTGCCTCGGCGAGGTTCAGTTACAGCTTCTCTCTGTCTTCTTTTGAAAGATCTCGTCTTAACGACCACTCTTTCCCATCCTCATCACTTTGTAATTTTCTGGCATTCCTGAGTACTACTAATATCTGTTTGGCACCGTTTAGGGTGATCCTCAAAGGTCGATTTTCCCCTTTTACGTATCTGCCTATTCTCCTGTAGTCGCACACATTCTCTATGGTAGTAAGACCTTCTACGAGGCCAACAATTTTATCTACTACTTTCGCTTCTTCTACAGCTCTTTCTGACCTAGATGTTATCTCCTTTTCTTTGCAACCAAAAATTATCAGGGACTTACTCCGATCAACTGTGTTTTGCACCAGCTTCGGGTTAGATGCCAATTCCTTTCTCACTTCCAGCCTAATGTTTGTTTTATCTTGGTTGCTGCAGTGTTTGGCTTCCTTTACTGCTTCTCCAATTTTTTCCTTCTCCTTGGCCACTTGTGCATAGGTGAGTTGCATATCTATATTGCACTGTTCTATTCCCTGTGTAACTTCCTCCATCTGTGCTAACAAAAGCTGTTTCTCCTGTTGAATTTCCTTACCTAACCTATTGTAGTCATTTATGTTTAAATTTACTTTAACTTCTTCCATAGCTATTTTTAAGAGTTTATTTTCTTCTTCCATGGCTTTGCAATTTGTTTCCAATTGATTTTTATCCTTGCACAAGTCTTTCACTATATTCTCAAGACATAAAACTTTGCTATTCAAATGGTCATTACTTTCTTTCAATTTACTAATTATCTCTACATGAGAGTTCACTATAGTATCTAATTTTACGAACTTGTTATGTAGACTACTAATATCAATGCTTTCTTCATTGAATCCCGCAAAATCAAGCTCTGTTTTGTTTTTCCCCTTGACAGTGGCCATCTTGAATGTTCTTCTCTGCACTGGAAACACTAGGGCACCTTTTTCTCATTTGATTTTTTACTTCCCTTAGCACATTCCTATTATCTCACCTATTTTTCAAAAGCACTATACCTTTATGTTCTCTGGGACACCACTCACTATCATCAACCTGTAGTACAATACTTGGGATTATTGAAATATGCTGGAGCTCCTCTGATGCAAGTGTTGACCCTAGGGTCAACACTTGCCCACATGAAAGTTTGCATAGTTCGCTCTGAAAATACCTGAAGATTTATGTTTTGCGTAATATTGTTCTTAGAAGATTGTATCAATGTGTTGATACAAGAATGCCTCCAGAATGAGGTTCACAAATCTGCATGTCCAAAAGTCCACCGTTCTTGCTTCATAGGCCTCCCAGTCTATTGCTTTAAAGTTGAAGTCCCTCAGTATCAACAGTCGTGATTTATCTTTATCTGCTTGTACAATAATATCTCTCATGACCATTATGAGGTCCTCTCGTTTGTCATCCAGTTCTTCCTTTGTCCATGTGTTGCTTGCTGGTGGGCTGTAGGCATTTACAATTATCAGCTTATCATTCTGATTCCAGACCTGCAATGCCATTATGTCAATATCTCAAGGGTTTTCAAATATTAACTCTCCCACCTTCAGGTGTTCTTTCACCAGTACAGCCACTCCTCCCTTCCTAGTTTTCCTGTCATGTCTCCAAACTGAATAGCCCCTTGGGAATACGACTTCATTTAATATATTTCCTGCAAGTTCCGTCTCTGATAATGCGACAATATCTGGGACCCTAAGCTGAATTATATCTTGTAACTCCAAAGTTTTTGACCTCACTCCATCTATGTTGGTATATACAATTTTCAGGAACATGTTCCCTTTCCCTTTGTCCCCTTCCACTACTGATTTTGTTGCCTTGTTTTTATGTACCATTTCACAAGCTTTCTAGTCCCTGACACTTTGTAGAAAAAAGAATTTCTGTCTTCTTCATTTCTATCCCCATTTAGACGTTTTGCTTCAATGAGGTTCATTTTCAGCTTTTCTCTGTCTTCCTTTGAGAGAACTTTCCTTTGTCTTTCCTTTGTTCTACATCCGAGAACAAACTTTCTCTTGTTCTTTCCTTTGTTCTGGGAGCCGGTCGGCCGAGCAGACAGCACGCTGGACTTGTGATCCTGTGGTCCTGGGTTCGATCCCAGGCGCCGGCAAGAAACAATGGGGCAGAGTTTCTTTCACCCTATGCCCCTGTTACCTAGCAGTAAAATAGGTACCTGGGTGTTAGTCAGCTGTCAGTGGCTGCTTCCTGGGGGTGGAGGCCTGGTCGAGGACCGGGCCACGGGGACATTAAAGCCCAGAATCATCTCAAGATAACCTCTTGATAACCACTCCAAGTGATATTCTGACCTGACTGCAAAACCATTAGAAGCTTCAGAACTAGAACCAGGTAGATGACCAGAAGAAGGACAAATCACACTCACAGAGGAAGGAAGAGAAGGCACAGACTTAGTTCCGATATAAGTCATCAATGCGTTCAATTCTGAGTCTCTAAACATCATAGGGGTCAACTCCGGGGTATCTAAATGATCACAATGCTGAGAATGACTAACATATGCAAACTTAACTTGTAAAGCAGCAACTGCCTAATATGCTTCCAAACATGAAGCAGAAACAGTCAAAGAAGAGACCCAATTAGAGTAAGTCTCACAGAATTCAGGATTCAAGGTATCACCAACCCAGCAGGCAGCATGGTACAGGTAGAGAGAATGGTCATTGTCCGGTACCAAGGACGATGAATACCCTTTGAGCTCTCACAAACCAAGCACAGTCTCAACCAGCAGATTTATAATGAACCACCCCAGATCCCTGCGAGAGAACAGCCATGGCATGAAGGCAATAAGCCAAGCATGATACTCTCCATGTGACCTTCCAAAAGAATAGATGACAACAAATGCAGTCAAAAATCATAAGCACTGAGCAACCATATAAACAAGCATGCAAAAAAAAATGTCTCGTGTTTGGAAATGCATACAAACCTAGTGCACCCAAGGCACAACCAAGCAACTTTCAACCAAGGGTCCTTACCAATGAGTCAAAGATCCATTAGCAGTTCAAGGTGAGGATCTCTACTCCAGTGGCCCAGGCCTCCTGGGGGCAAATTACTTAACATACCAGAGAACTCTGCCAGTAATGCTAGGGCAATGCTAGCAAGCACCAAGGGAAGAAATCCTAAATACATGCAGCCAGAAGTGCAACAGAAGCCAAGCCCATTGAACAAAGCCAGATGGAAAACACACACCTGAAGCCAATACCAAAACAAGAAAACAAAACACAAGCAATGGCCCCCACAGGGTGAAGTCTAAGAACAGCAGCACTTAACTTACAGCAGAGGTGCTTGCTGCATGCTGACTGACGCAGGCACTGCAGGTAGTAGTAACCACCACCACATCGGCAACACAACTGATCAGGAGAACTGGCCAAGAACCGGGCTGGGTTGCCTGTTGGTGGCTAGTGATACTACTGTGTTTGACCTAGTTGTAAGTGAATATTGTTTTGTTTGAATCATTGGTAAAGTTGTTTGGTACTTTTGAGGCATCACTTTCTGTGAACCTTACAGATGATTGTATTGCTTGACTCCCTACCCACCTGTTGGTAGTCATGCTTTACTGACTTCCTGGATGCTTTTCCCAGTGGGGTGGCAGATTGTCACTTGTTCCCTGTGGCTGTGTGAGGTGCCAGGTTCTGGCTTTGGTAGGCCAAGCACAACTCCTGCAACTGATGTGATCCATTACAATGGAACAATCTCAGAGAGATAGCTTTTGGGAGCCATCAGGGGCTCCCCCAGATAATCTTATTAACATTTAGAATACAGTACTGTACTTCAAAATATTTTCTGGGGTATGATAAGTTATAATCAAAGTACAATACCATACTACACTGTAATTCAAATATGAGTCATGCATTATCTGCATTATCATTGTAATGGAAGCCAAGCGGATGTTATTTATGGCATTGGGTACATAGCTGGCAAAGACTGGTAATCAATTGAATACAAAAATCCTAAAACAGAATTGCAGTGCATAATCAATTTATTGGGCAACAAACTGGTAATTTTCCATGAAAAATTCAAAGTAACACAAATAGAGCAGAGGTTATCCATGGCATTTGGTGTATAGCTAACCACAAAGACAGGTAATCAATTTAACACAAAAATCCCAATGCTGAATTGTATTGTCAAACTTGTGGAACCAACCACTGTATGTTTATCTGTATTGTATACCACAATGACGTGTAGGAATGTGTAGTGCTGGCCAACATTCCCTCCTTCTGATATTATTTATGATCATAGCAAAATGTTGATACCAACATCAATTTGTCTTTCTCTATGGAAAGCAACATCTCAATCTAGTGAATTAAAAAATAAGATTTTGTGTTACATATTTCATTCCCAAACTGATCATAGATTTGTGCTCCAAACTGCTTAATAACATGTTTATGTAAAAATCTTAAGTCAAGCATTAAATAAACATGATCAGAATGCATTTTGCCAAAATATCGTGTTGATTATTACCTTGGTATACTATCATCATTGGCAACACACGGTGAACACAGGGAGTCAGAGGAAGCCATCAGCTTGTGAGAAATAAACGCATAATCCAATTCTAGACGGGGATTCGTGGGGCTACTCTGAATGTTCTGGGATGGCCTACATGCGTCTGAAATTGTCAACATGATCAGAACACAAATAATTTCTCAATAACACTTATTACTGAACTGACCCATAAAATATATACAAAATAAACCATTTTTTTTAATGCAGGAGTCATGTGACAAATATCTTAAAAATGTATATTCTATAACTTTATTTACATAGAAGAAATACATCTAATGATAATACATAATACACCATGTAAAAGCCTATAAAAATATTCAAGTACAGTATTATCAAGATCGTTCCATCACCCTCTTATCAGTGCAAGTTTCAACCTCAATAGCTATTAAGAACAAAAGAGCGTGCACAATAACACATTAAACACATAATGATACAAGTCAGAAAAATGAAACATTTATTTTGCTCCTTATAGTGTTGGGAAATTCAGAGAGAAAACATTGTCCAGAATTCAAATTCATGGAAAATATATGGTGAAACAACAAGAATTCAAGAGAATGAATTGTTAAGTAATTATAATTCAATAAGATGAATGGTGAATGGTTAATTATAATTCAAAGGGAGACGGAGGATGAAAACGTTATAGAGTATTTATGAATTAGAGAACATGAAATGAATATTGATAAAGTAATTCAAGTCACTGTAAGGAAACAGTGACTAGCAAAGAATAAAGAAGTGCTGATCACCTTATTTAAGAGATGATGTAAAAGTATAATTGAAATACAAAAAATATATTTGAATTAATTTTAAATTGAAGAAATTTACCATAAGTAACTTATTAACTGTCAATATCATCCTAATTGGGTTTCTGCACAATAACAGCAATGCATCAGAGACATTAAACTCTTCTTATGGTCAAAGAATGATGGAAAAAGCAGTACTATTCAAAAGTTAGAATATTAAATCTTAAAAATAAAAGCAATTGTACCAGCTTTAATACAAACTGAAAAAAAAATGTTTAAACATGTTAGGAAGGTGCAAGGATTGTCAGTGCTCTGGATGCAACCCATCTTACCAGTATTAACTCATTACATTGCTCCAATCACTTGAGAGCATTGAGTCTACTTGCTACAATCCTCTCAAGATGATTTGAGGTGCCCCATTTTATTCAAAAGCACCACCCATTCTATGGGGACATCACTTGACACTAAAAACCTCTGATGACTGTTTGCCTAGATGGAAAACAAAGTAAACAAAGTTCCTTTGTTTTCCTACAGGGTATAAGGTAAAAAATATAGACCCTGTCATTATGTATGAGAAAAGCAAAAGCTCAATATGTACTGTATTCTATTTGTATTTACTTAACCATGGCACTGCACAGAGTGCCTGTAGGCACTAGATCGGGGGTGCACAGAGCACCTGTAGGCGCTCATATTTTTAGCATTGGATTCAAAACTGGCGTGCAGTGACTTGGGTACAAAATGGATGCCTGAGGCCTCCAGTGATCGTCCGCCATTTTTTTTAAAATCCCAGCATACCCCAGGGCCCGGAGGACCCTCAGTTTCAAGGAAGCAACCATGTCTGATGCATCGTCTACGAGCTCCCGGTCCATGGTCAGCCACAGTGCTGCAAAACGACTATCAGAGGAGGAAATATGGGACATATTGTATTATGATGGACCAATTGTTGACAATTTAGACTATGATCCAGAAAAAACCTAACACAAGGGTCTGACACAAGTTATGGGGACACTGAGGTGGACGATGTCGTGAGTGTGTACAGTACACGCGCCTCGCCCGGCCTCTCACACCACCCTGGGTCAACACCGCTAGAGTTGCCATCACCATCTGTCACCTGACGTGATTTTATTTGGTGATACTACATGTGATGAGTCTTTTTAGGCTTCAGTGACATAGGCTCAGCTACAAGCAGTGTTGATGAACTGAGTACAGCACAAGCGGCTATGGAGTTACTAGGCAGGGTTTTGCTTCCAAGCACCATGACGAGGCAAGTGCCAGTGTGTCAAGCGCCCTGAGGGCAAAAACTACAGTGCGCCCTTGACATCAGGTGTTCATGGTAGGCCTATACTATGCAGAACAGTCTCATCTCCTGGCATACTCATATACAGCTCTAACACAAGACAATGGAGCTGTGGATTTGGCACCCGTGCTGGTGTTGGCCGTGGAGTTGGAACCCATGCTGGTGTTGGCGCCCGTGCTGGTGTTGGCGCCCGTGCTGGTGTTGGCGCCCGTGCTGGTGTTGGCGCCCGTGCTGGTGTTGGCGCCCGTGCTGGTGTTGGCGCCCGTGCTGGTGTTGGCGCCCGTGCTGGTGTTGGCGCCCGTGCTGGTGTTGGCGCCCGTGCTGGTGTTGGCGCCCGTGCTGGTGTTGGCGCCCGTGCTGGTGTTGGCGCCCGTGCTGGTGTTGGCTGTGGTGTTTGTGCCAAAACCAAAAACACTGGTGTACTTGTGTGGCAGTATTGTGAGAATTTTGTCCCACAAATTCTAACATTTGATGACACAGATGTTGGTGTGACACCCTTACTCCCATATACCAGTGATGATATGCATGAAATTTATTATTTTATGGTATATTTTGACCAGCAATTAATGGACCATCTCGTTTCAAAGACAAACGGATACGCTCTGGAACTAATTGACACTGGAATTTTCCCTGCCTCTCGATCAACATGTTGGAAAGACACGACTAATGGGGAAATGTATGTGTTTTAGCTTTATGCATGATGATGAGGCATGTAGATAAACACGCAATCCAGGATTACTGGAGCAAGGCCAGCCTTGTTCCAACCCCCCTTGTTCAACAGATACATGTCTCGTGATAGGTACCTGCTGCATCTCAGGTGCCTGCACCTTGAGAACAATGCTAATGAAGACACACGACAGATTGTGGAAAGTGCGGAAGATATTTAGTGATCTGAGAGGAAAGTTCCGTGACTATTTTGTACTAGCACAGAATGTCGTGATAGATTATTCACTAATTCTGTTCAAAGGATGACTGGCATTTAAGCAGTACATTCCATCAAAGCGGCACAGGTTTGGACTAAAGTTTTTCATGCCATGTGACTGTGAAACTGATATGGTCATGGACATGATATTGTATTCAGGTACAGACATTGACATACCAGATCAAGATCCACACGGGTTCTCAGGCAGTGTCGTGAAAACACTCGTAGAACCATTGCTGAACAAGGGGCATATCCTGTATACTGACAACTACTATACCAGCCCCTTGCTGATTAGATTCCTCCTTGACCACAACACCGACATATGTGGCACTGTCAAGGCCCACAGGAGGGAAATGCCAGTGTTTGGCATTGGTCTTGCAATGGGTGAATGCCAGCTGCAAAAGTGTCTTAAAATGTTATCCGTGCAGTGGAGGGACAGACGTGAGGTGAATATGTTGAAAACTATTCACACCGGTGCCATGTTGGACAGTGGCAAAGTGAATTTTGCAACAAGGTTGCCAATGTATAAACCTGATTGTGTCATTGACTACAATGTAAATATGCGGCTAGTAGATAAATATGACATGATGGTTGGTGCTGTCGAGTGCATGCGAAAATCTGTGAAGTGGATGAAGAACTTATTTTTCCACCTCATTGGCATTACAGTGCCGAACTGTTTCAACACATATTTCATGAAACCTGACAAGAGACCACTAATCCGTAAATTCAGTGTTGCTCTGGTGTCACAACTACTGGTGATGTAAGGGGTAGAGGGCAGTGTTGTGCCACGTGGGGTGCCAGCAACAATGCCTCACGAAGTTCCAAACAGACTCAGGGGTTAAAGAAATTCTGGCTATACACAAGCTTGGTTATATGCCAAGCACAGGCACATGGGACAAGGGATAAATGTGCCTGCATTGTTTGCAAGAACATGTAATGTAGGGGAACAGAAGCAAAGATACATCTACACTGTGCGAGGGGCCTATGCTACACTTTCTAACTTCAGAATTGCTTTTGAATACATGGATGGCAAAATACTAAAGAAATTGTTCATGACTTTTGTGAGACCAAAGCTAGAATATGCAGCAGTTGTATGGTGCCCATATCTTAAGAAGCACATCGACAAACTGGAAAAGGTGCAAAGACATGCCACTAAGTGGCTCCTAGAACTGAAAGACAAGAGCTACGAGGAGAGGTTAGTGGAATTAAATATGCCAAAACTAGTAGATAGAAGAAAAAGAGGCGATGTAATCACTTAGTACAAAATAGTACTGTAACAGGAAATGATAAAATTTATAGGGAAGATTTTCTGAGACCTAGAACTTCAAGAACAAGAGGCCATAGACTTTAACTAACTAAACGAAGATGTTGAAGAAATATAAGAAAATTCACCTTCGCAAATAGAGTGGTAGACGGTTGGAACAAGTCAGGTGAGAAGGTGGTGGAGGTCAAAACCGTCGGTAATTTCAAAGCGTTATATGACAAAGAGTGTTGGGAAGACGGGACACCACGAGCGTAGCTCTCATCCTGTAACTACACTTAGGTAATTACACTTGGGTAATTACTTGGTGCGTTGAGTGCAAAGTTGCCTTGTGCCCTGTTCACTGCTTCATTGATTAACACACACACACACGCTCAGTTCTAAGTGTTGATAGGTGATGTATATAGTCTGTGATAGTGTACAATGTGTAAATAAGTTGGAAATGTACATAACTGAACATGTAATACTGTATAGAAAATATGAACAATGTTTGTGAACACATTTGTGATACATGTAACACAGTTTCTTTGAACAGTATGGATCCAAAGTAAGTACATTTGTGCTTGTGCTTGCAATATTTTCAACATATCTGTGATCCCATGAGGGTATTCAACCCTTTTGGAAGAAAAAAGATTTTTTACAAAGAATTTTTTGTATGCGCACAGCAGGACTGTCGTATTTTAAGGCACCGCACCATGGTGGTTAATAAGGGAAAATACAAAATAAACATTTCATAAATAGCTACCTCACACTGTATTACTGCACTGTATCCAGGAAATTAATTTAATATACAGTACTAGATTCTAAGCCATAATACTGTATACATGAAAGCCATGCTATGCCACACCCTAAAATGATGCAAAATTAGATATACACAGCAGAG